ATTTATACCAAAATGATGTATGTAGATAGAGCGAACAGTATAATAGATATTAATGATGTATGTAGATAGAGGGAACAACTTGTCATAGCCAAAATCAGAATTGGAAAATATCTTTCATTTTTAAATAGTAATAGTATCCCAGTTTACAAATGAGGAAGTAATGGAAGAAAATCACTGTTTTCCAACTCCTGTGAAGCACTACTGAACACTGATTCTCAGTGGTTGTTAAGCACACAAAACCCAGAGCTAATTAAGTATCGCTTGCTCCTGATGGCAGTATACAAGACTATCAACTAACTAGGCAATCCAAAAGTCAAATCTGAATTTGATAAATTCTCTAGAACTAATTATGAAGTGACAGGAAATATAGGGAACAAAGGAACATGTTAATCATGCCATCAGCAAAATGTGAATTTGGGGATAATCTATATGGCAAAGCAGCAGGTTCCTTAGCAAATAAATTGCAAGGGAAAAATAAAGATGGAAGAAGAAATCTCAGATTTAAAAAGACAATACCTGTCAACTAATTGCAGAATCTACTTGAAGTGCAAATAAATCTTGGAGACATTTAGAGGAATTTAATGCACATGGATATTCGATAATATAAAGTAGTTATAGTTCATTTTTAGATGTAATAATATTTTGATTCTGTTCAAAATTAGGATACATGTCTTTTAGAGAAACATGCAGAAATATTTGTGGATGAAATAAGAATAATACTGAGAAGTTGCTTCAAAATAATCCAAAATGAGTATGGATACAGGTAAAATAAGCTTTGAATAAATTAATAATCATTGATACTGGTGATATGTGAGGGTTTGCTGCACATTTTTCTCGACTTTTATGTACATTTGAAATTTTCCATAGCCAAAAGTTAAAAAAAAAAAAAGTTTTGTATGTATTCTAAAAGGAAGTAGTTCAGAAGTTCTGATAATATGAGAGGAATGGAGGAAAATGTCAGTGTTCACAGGAAAACAAACTGGTCCCATTTCCCAGTTGAATTGTGCTCACTAGCTAGTTAGTGTTCTGATAGACCTACTCTGGGAACATCAGCCAAGTAGAACATATGCTGTGGAGTCAAGAACAACAGAAGCAACTTGGTTCCTCTCTGGAAGCAACTATCATTTCCACTGTCATCATCAGAGCACCAGAAGCAGTGATGGTTAGGACCCAACATTTGAGCAGTATTCTGCAGTGTGCAAGATGTCTTACATGTCTTTCAGCTCACCTTCAATCAGAGCCTTATGAGTCAGATAATATTTTGCTCACCTGAGACCAGGAATCTGGAACTCCTCCATGTAACTTGACCAGAGCATAAGTAGCAGAACTGGAGTTCCAATGTTATCTTCATCTTCATTATATGTTTGCTGTTTTTTCCTCACTGCTGACTATAGAGCAGCCAAAACAAGCATTTATGTCTTTTAAATGTTGCCTATTTTAGCACAGGCTATACTATTTATTTCCACATGTAGATTTCTTTCAGGATAGACATTTAACCATCACATGTAATTGATAAGAAACAACTCATACCTTGTTAGTGGTGACCCCATTGAACATGAAGATTATTCAGATTTAGAGGAACAAATACCTAACTAGTCAACAAGTTTCTACACATTATTCTAGGCACTGTGCTGAAAGTATAATCTAATATTGTGTTGGGAGTCAAAGTGGGAGAAGAGAAGATATTAGTTTCTCTCTCTCTTTTTTTCAACTCTTAGAGCAAAATACATGGTGTCTTCTCACTTGTAATCATCTTAACCCATTTAGTCCCAAGATTTTAATTCTAAGAATATTTTAATAAAATTGACAGTGCATAGGGTAGAAATCATAGTCTAGAACTTATAGATATTATGTTAATATTATACTATACTATAGTTATATTCTTATGTGTGTGTATACATATATATGACATACTAAATATAAATATATATATATGTATGTATGTGTGTGTGTGTGTGTGTGTGTATATATATATATATATATATATATATATTATACTAAAGTTTTATAGGTGTTCCATATCTGAGATTATAGGACAAAATGGGTTAAAGCACTATAAGTTACCCTTCTTCCTCTGTGCTCCATGTTTGCCCTTCTGTAATTTACTACACTTGCAAGGCTTTCTTTACTTAGGAAGGTAGGTAGGGAGAAAAGAAAAAGAGAGAGAAAGAGGGAGAAATAGAATCCGGTAGAGGATCAGGTCAGTGCAATGTGCTGCAAAGCAAACTGAGGTCCTGAGTGCTCTCCCAAACCACTGGAGATGCTTACCTATCTATATTAGGGGGATGAAGTCTGGTAGGCTTATTTTGAAGTCCTCTGGTTTTTATAGGAAAATTCATTGAAAAAATAAGAAGGTATTGATTCATGTTATCCATGGACAGTTTTTCTGAGAAATGAATCAGTCAAATCATTTCTTTTAATGACCTTTTAAAATTCTGTGGAGACAGGCAGGAAAGCTATATCTAGTTAAATATGTATTTCTTGTTCTAACTTGTACATTAAAAATACTTCAAATTTGTGATATAATATGTTCTATGTATATGATAGGATGTGTGTTAGAATCCCTTATGTAATAAGGTGTCAAATGTATGCACATTTTAGAATTATTTCATTACTGACTTAGAGAAGACCCACATAATCTTAGATATTGTAATCTTGGATATTATTTCTTTCATCAGTAAAAAGGAAGGGTTGTACAAGCTTCTCCAAATCTCTGTTGTGAAATATCATTTTACTATTTCATATGATTATGAGAATTATTGTATCTGTTTTTAAAAGATTTTATTGATCCTGGCTACAATTTATAGGAATCCAAAGTGAGGTCTTAGAACAGAACCCCAATTACAACATTGTTTCTCAGGGAAAATGGGATCCACTGTATAGTGCTGCTTGGAGGACCACACTGTGGCAAAGATCAGGGTTGCTAGTGCTATGCTTACTTCATAAAAACAGCAACCTTTGGTGTGTACTGGATACATGCTTTTAAAAAATTCCCTCACTCTGTAAAATGGGGAAGAACAGCACCAGCTTCATTGAGTTGTTGAGGATCAGTAAGGTGTAATAGGTCAATACATAGAAAACATTACAAAAAGTCTCTGGCACAGAGTGCTCAGTAAGTGTTGGCTGAGATTGTGGCATTATTAACACCATTGCTACTGAGCTTCCCGATGACCCGTGAGGAGGCCATAGTGTCCTCTGCCTTCTGTATGTGAGCATTAAGTGCGGACATTCCACAACTAGAGCTGGAATGAGAGCCATGCATTTCCACCCTGAGTCATGAAACTTACAGTGACCCAAATAGGGGAACCTTTTATAAAGCAGTAACTCCATTATTTTAGGACTACCTTTTATTTTTCTTGGCTCTAACTTGCCAAAAGCAATTCTATATGCTGATATGGAAAATCTCAAATATGTCATTAAGTTTTCAAAAGTGCCAAATAGCATATCATGGGTATACTTTAATCCTGGGTATGTTATTTTAAAAAGGTTATTCACATATGCTTTATATGCATAAAAATGTCTGAATCAGATACAGAAGAAATCACTAACAGTGGGTTCCTCTGGGGAATGGGGACTGGTTCTTAGGGAAAATGGAGAGATTTTTACTTTTTATTTTATGCTCTTATATACTATTTGAATTTTTTATAAATAATTTTTATAAATTTAACTTTTTTTTTAAAGGGAAGAAAAATTTAATAACCCATCTCTATAACTCTATAATATACTATTATCCAAACTCTCAAAAGATGCCTTCCTGTCAAGCAAAAAAAAAAAGAAGAAGAAGAAGAAGAAAATAAACTTTGGAAAAAGATACATAGCATACTAAGTCCCAAGATTGGAGGATCAAAATATATTTTAGTTCATTAAAGGTTATGTTATGAATGGCTACAGAAGAGAATCTAGGTTTTTTTTTTTTTTTTTTTTACTTTTATTACACTTACTACTATCCCATGAAATTCTGTCATATGGCATTAACAGTTTTGGAAAAGCTATAGAAATTTCAGGAAAGGTGACCAGGCCTTAGGTCAACTGCAAGTGGAGGAAAGGTGCTGGTTTGTTTAGAAATGGTGGGAAATATTCCTGGTTCTTGAATTCAGGCAAACCTGGGTCCGAATCCCAGGTCTTCCATTCCCTGGGTCTCATAAGCCCAGTTGCCCGACTTCTGGGTGTCATTGTGCTCACAGGTGAAGAATAATACCTCCCTCATAAAGGCATTTTAGGATTAAATGAGGTAAGTGTCTGGTCTGTACAGGACACTAGTATTTGCTGCCTGCTCTTCATCCTCAGCTTCATCTACCTCATGTTACTGCTGCTGCCTGTGTTCATGAATACACATGCTTACCCAAGCAGGAAAATTACTAAAGCACCCCTCCATTTATGGAAGCCTTCGTTTCAGGTTTTATCTATGGCCAGGCTGTCAGGTAGCAAGTTCTAGCTTTTCCCATGTCCATTTCTGACATCTCCATTTACAGATTCCTTTTTCAAGAATGTGTCTTTGGTCCAAGGCAAAGTTCACAGACTCTGGGAGATTGTTGAGAATCCTATTTCTCTAAAGTTGAGTCTAAAAAAGTTAGACTCTAGAAATGCTTTCTGAAATGTCATCCAGGTTTGCTCCCTCCAGGCTTTTCCAGGCCTCCACCCCAGGGTAACCAATCACTCTCCTGTGAATGTCAGTGTTAATTCTCTAACACAGCAAAAACAGTTTTCAGGTTTAAATTTAAAGAGGTGTATGATAAAACATTACCTTTTCAAAGTAACTTTTGCATTATACAGTTGAAAATAATCACCCAAGTGTTACCTGCTTCCCTTCAGTGCCCCGGGCAGAGAGAGCTTAAAGTTCAGGAAGTAATAACAAAAGGAATCAGAAGCAGATCTCAGGCACAGCCTCTGAAGACTCTCCCTGTCTGCGCCTGGCCTCTCCCTCCTCCTGGGTGTGTCTGCCCGGGAAGGCCAGTGAGTAACCTGCACATTTTTTTTTCATCTTGGCCCTTCCCACCCAGACGAGAACACTGAGTGGCAGCCAGGCAGGCAGACGGCGGGGAGCCCTGTTCAAGCATGCAAGGAGCACACCTCCACCCGTACCCACGTCTTGGACCCCTGGCCACCACCCCACGCCAGGAGGAGCCCCGGAGAGGAATCTCCAGGGTCCTCTGCTCCCAATGGTAAGGGCTTCCAGCTGCAGGACTGCTTCATTCACTTTATTTGCTTTATTGTTGGCTTTTCTTTTTTATCCTGTTTGGACAGGAGAGTTTCTGCAAGGATTGAAGGTGTTTGATTTGGTTGGTTAGTTCTTGGTGGTCCCAAAACAAAGAAATGTCTTTTTCCAGTGAGGTTATTAGAACTTGTAACCTGATAGCCTGCCTTGGAACAAAACTTAACAGATAATTACCTTTGATTGGTATAACTTACCCTTTTGGTCCTACAGGGGAGAAAAGCTACTTCGCTTACCAATTAGGTTTTGAGGTAGAAAAAGTGCTAAGGATTGTGGGCATTTTAATACATGGGCAACTCTAATTGAAATGTAGCTTAATTCTTACCAGAGCTTTAAAATAAACCAACATGACATTTTGTTCAAAACAAAACAAGCTAACAAAACCTGTTCAAAGATTTCAATGTAGAATAAGAGATGTCAGAGTTGGAGTTTGAAAAGTGTTAAAAGATTAGTTGTTCTAATGAAATGCAAGTGAACTTGGAAGTATTGATTAAGATACCCCAGGCAGAGGCCTGTGGTGCTCAGGGGAGAGAAATGTCTGATGTTCAATGTGGGATCATGTGGTATTTGAGAGAGAAAACAGAGATCTTTGTGTAGTGTGTTGAGAATTCCTTGAAGGGAAGGCAAATGGAGGAGGTTTTCTGTGCAGGGCTGATGCCAAGGTCTTCTACCCGATTGCTGTGGATGAGAGGGTAACTCAGAGTAATCAAGTGCTGCATTGTTAACAGACCCCTGTGTTTTTAGTGTTTATTCTAAAGACAAGCCACAGATTGCAACTGGCATGTGAAGGAATAAACTGCTGCCTCTGGTTCCCGACCTAGTCAAAAAATTAATACCTGGGAAGAACTCAAGAAAAATGTTGTAGGCAAGATAAGGCTATGTGTAAAGTTAATTTCATTCAAATATTGTAGATAATTTGAGACAGCCCTCTTAACAGCCATGAAGAATTACCTCCCAATTATGAATGTAAAGATACTGCGTTAAGAGGGTTTATAGTATCAGAGAGTGAAATAGGAAACTGCAGTAGGAATTTCCCAAACCAGAGGCACTGCTGTGACACATGTGGATGTTTGGCCTGTGCCCAGGTGTCTCTGCAAATGCAATGCAGGTTCATTCTTGGCACCTCCGGGCAAGCAACTTAGGTATTCTCTTTAAGGAGTAACCTGTACCTAACATATCTAGGTTTTTGGAGCAGCAGTGAACAACAGCTAAAAAATAATGTTCTAAGAAGGCATACCTGAACTTTATGGCATGTAAGAAGAGCACAAAGTTATCTGTGTGTGAATGTTGGAGGGCATAGAGGCCCAGACAGGGTGAAAAATCTCTCTTCTAAGTTTATGAAGACCACAGTATGTGTTTTGCTGTGAGAATCACTGTGATTATCACTGCTCCTGTGGTACTAACACCAAGTTTGCTTCCTTATTGCTTTCGATTCCCCTTGCCTAATTAAAAGCAGAGATTTATTAGCAACCAGTTGGCTAGTGTGTTAGAAGATGATCTGAGTATGCCACTCATTTTGAGACCACGTAAGCAAGAAGTGAAGGTAGGAACCATTATGATGATTTTTCTGAAGAGTCATGTTTTAAAGTTGTGACTTTCCAGTTATAATTGAAAAGCAAATATACACACTACTAAGCCTCCCATAGAGTTAACAGCACTGATAGCTATTCTGGTTCTCAGGTATTTGCATATTGCATACAACATACTATAGTATAAAAATGTCACCATTACTACCAAACCTGCTTCTCTCCCATATCCAATGTTCAGGAACACAATAGAGTTTAGAAGAGTGTGGGCAATGAATCTTCCCACTAAGGCCTATTCCACATGTTTTCAGAATTTTTTGGCTTTCTTCATAAACCAAATTGATATTGCAATGCCTGCTTGAATCTGGCTTTTCTGAGGCATCTTTACGATTAATTTAGCATCTTTATGATGAATTTTTAGGCATCTTTATGATGAATTTTTTTTTACTTCATTGTGTTTTGTATCTACTCTTATTGCTTAGTCTACCAACCAGACTGTAAACTGGACATACAGGAACCAGAGTATGCACTCAGGACAGCTTTGTCTTTGAGTAGGGTATACTTTCTCCTTCCCTCTTAAAAAATTTCCTCCAAAGAGCCTCAGGCACTACTAGCCTTTGGCCAACTCTACCATCCTGTGTCTCTGGTTTCTGGAGCTATTTTCTCTTCTACCCCCTGCATAAGTAGGTGTGTCAAGACTTTGGCTCTAACCAAAAGGTCAAGGTTTATTCTAAAATAAAGCAACACCTTTGTTATAGAGATGCTGTAAACTACTGCTACATCTCAGTCAGGCTATATATACCTTGGGGCCTAGATTAGGAAAAATAGTTGTGGATCCTGGTTGTTTCCTAAATGGTAATGGTCAGGGAAAGTAGAGAAGAGAAAGGAGAAAGAATGAAGAGTGCTTAGTCAGCAGCCTCAGGTGGGGGGGGGGGGGAATTATAATTAGCGTCAAACTGTAGTCTCCATTAAGCTCCGGTTTCCTGCTTCTCTGTTTGCTGGTCTTATGTGTTATCTTTTCCCTGTAATATTTCTTCTTGTGCTTTGGTGTTCCTCATGTTAATGCCATGCACTTCTTCGGAGGATGTAGCCCTGATGATCATTCTCACAGTCACTTAGGATGTGACTACAGGCACATCCTAAGTCACAGAGATTTGTCCTGAACAGATTCTCAAAAGATTGGCATGTCATCTACATCTTCAAGTACCCCAAAGATGATGCTGAGAATATATAGATTGCTTTCGCTTTAGTTTGAGAAAGAGATCTTGAGGATTTGGTAAGAGTGAAATCAAAGAGCTAGAATGAAGAATGTCAGATGAAGTTTTAATATGAGGACTTTATGTCTTTATGAGATGAAAGTGAAAACTTTGGCCCTCACTTAGAAATCTCATTTGGCTAGAGATTATATATTTCTCTTATTATACTGTATAATATAGATTGATTTGCAAAAATTATCCCAATTATTCTCTTCTTTTAATCTGTTCCCTTGCAACATGACTTTCTGGCTCCTTTTATCAAGTGGTAAAGTCTGTTTCCCCAGCCACTGAATCTTGGCTTGGCTTTATTCCTTGTTTTGACCAGGAGAATGTGCAGAAATAATGTTAGTCCCCAGTCTCAGTTTTAAGGCAGCCTCTCATACTTCTGCTTGTTCTCCTGGAATCCAAGTCAGTCATCATGTAGAAACTCCTGGGCACTCTTGCTGTGACCCAGAGACCCTGTCACACAATTGACAGTGATTCTATATTAGACGTGGAAATGAGGCAATCCTAAACCAGCCAGCTGTCCTCAGACACTTGAATGGGTCCAGCAGAGATCAGAAAAACCCATCCAGATCTAAAGACTCATGAGCAATAATACTTACTGTTTTAAGCTGCTGAGTTTGGAGTAGTTTGTTAAGCTAATCATGACTGATACATTTGGTGATCTGGATCCTGGTACCTTGTGTTCACTGTTGGGTCTATTAATGTCAAACACTTAGTTTAACACAGCAGAAAAGATTCAATCAGTGGATGAAGAGGTTCTATTAGATGAGGGGAAGTCCTCAATTCTTATGATTGTCAGCATTATTTTGAGGTGTTTTTAATAACAGAGGCCTAGGCCTTGTGCTAGAATATTCGGTCAGATATCTGTAGATGGAGTCAAGGAATTTGTAATTTACAAAGGTCTGGTGATTGGCCAGAATTAAAAACTAATAATGCAGTGGTTTGTCAATTCTTTGGATTACTAAAAGATGCAATGATCCAGTTCACCCAGTATTTAAGCAAATAACACTCAGTTGATTTAGGGGTTCTTACTGACCTATATACTTTCAGCCATAGAAATAAACTTTATTATTCCTCTGTATAAAAGCACATTAGTCCTGATAATGGTTGGAAACATCATAGGTGAAGGAAGACCTATGGCTAGAATTATGTATCATTTACCATTGTATCCCCTGGAGCTTAGAACATGGCATGGACTCATGAATAAATTTTGGATATTGGGAAGGTAATGGGACTCTGTTTTGAGGACTTCACAGTCTAATAAGAAAACTATTAGAGATTTATTACTTATTATGTATTAAGAAAACAAAGCAAACGGTGTTTTAACCCCAAAACTACATTTATTGCCTGTAGTTGTATCTGTGTGTGTATCTAATGTTGCTATGATAATACTGCATTACAAACAACTAGAAAATATCAGTGGCATCAACAATGTTCATTTCTTAACCCTTGTGTCTGCAGGTTGAAGGGGAAAATTGGCTTGTTCTTATCTGGCTCAGATGGGGGTGGCTTCTTCTGTTTCCCTTGTCCTAGCCCCAGCACCAGCTGCTAGCTTGTCATGTTCTGGTGATGGAAGGGGTAAGAGCACAAGCCACCCATGCAAGCTCATTACAAGCTTTTGATTATGTCATAAATCCATTAACATCATATTGGTCAAAGCAAGTCACATAGCCAAGCCCAATGTCAAAGGGCAGGGAAACATTAATATTTTTAGCAAGATGAATGACAAAATCTTGTTGTGTCAAAGGAAATGGATCCAGAAGGGGTGAATAAATAGGACTACGAAAGTGTTCTCCCCTTTTCTGGGGGGAGGGGTCTAGGAAGGAGTTGTACCTTTTCCTTCTTTGGAAGGATCATGGAGTCATAGTTGGATCCTAGAAGAACCAAGAGGCAGAAAAGAATCCATCTTGAAGGTAACTCAAGTTTGATGTTTTCAGATGCCATTGGAATTCCTGTAGAATGCCTCTTTTCCATTCCACCCCATCTTCCAAAATGTAAAGGTCCTTGGCTTTGGCTATTCCCTATCCAGTTCCAGGAGGGCTATTACTTGGGTGGAGTTATTACTTCAGATCAAATGACATCCCTTTGCTATGGTCTCCTCTTTTTCAAATGAAAGGTAACCAGTTTCCATCCATTCTGAACCTCGGACCCTTACGCAAACC